CCATTACCTCAGCCAGGCACCGGTTCAGCACAGCCACTGCCTCACCTGGATTGGTGGAGAACGAGAGGCAGAGCTGTGTATCATCAGCATACTGATGATTCCGCAGCCCACACCTCCTGATGACCTCTCCCAGCGGTTTCATGTAGACATCCAAGCAAGGAAAGAGAAGTTTCAAGCTTAGCAGTTCTGTTGTTTCGTGCGGGGCTGCTTTCTGAGCACAGCATCGGGTAACTGTTCCTCGGCCCCACAGCAGCTGAGCTGTGGGATGCTACAGAATGCCATTGTGTTCCTAAACATCTATATGAAGCACCCGGAAGTAGTCATCAGGGATTTGGAGCTAGGTCCCCTCAGTATGTTGATGGATGCTGCTGCATCAGTGCCCAAAACCAGTGATGGGCTGGTAGAGAGACCATGAACTGAAACTGTATCTTGCCAAGGCAGAAATCCTGTGGGTGAGCAGTCCTTCCACGTGGGAAAGAGTCTCATTGGATGGGTCACGCTTCCTCAGGGAGATCAGGTTCAGCGCCCAAGGGTTCTCCTAGATCCCTCATTACTGGGGCGCCAACTGACCTCGGCTGCTTAGACTGCTCTTTAATGGTCTCACCAGCTACGGGTTCCTGGACTGGACTGGACTGGAAAAGAAGGCTGGTATATTAACAGTTTGTGTGCCAGAAGCCACTAATGGATACCTGTGAACTGTGGGGCTCGCCCATTCTTGATTGTTTTAAGGACCTATTTACAGGATGCGCTTTTATTTCTATGTGCTTGGTTCTTTTAGAAAACCCATTTCAATGTTTTAATATAGCTTTCATTTACGCAAGCACTTGATTTTCCCTAAGAGGTCATTCAGCTGTAGCGCTGTGCTCATTTTTTTCCTGAGACAAAGGATGTGGGAAAGTTAGAGAGGGAGAAGCCTCAACCGAGGAAGTCATGGAGTGAATGTACTTGGGAGATGAGTGAAATGACGGACTTTGCTCTTTCTCAAGAAAATATTTCGGTGGCATTTCGGTCAGAGAAAGGATCTTGTGAGAAGCCTTTGCTCCACCGCCGGAGCAAGCCTCATCCAGACGGGGAATAATACGACAAAGAAGCCTTTGTTGGTGTACAAAAGCCAATAGCCACTTGGAGTAGGTTTGCACAGCCAAAGGTTAGCAGCCTTTGCATTGGTAGCAGAGCAGAAGCAAGCGCCTAAAGCAGTGCTGGGGGCCGTTTGGTGCATCTGCCTCCTTCTGACTTCCTGTTGCCTAATCCCCCAGCACAGCAGAGGTCATAGGCTGACCTTCTGCCATTTGTCATAAGTGGGAAAAAATGGCTTGACATTTATTTTTAAGGGGGGGGAAATCCAGCTGCCTGTCTCTCTCCATCTCCCCTACCCCGCCACTCCCGATGTCAGTTCCACATCCCAGACTTGCTGGAGAGTGTGATGCAACATCAACTACATTTCTGAGATCCCAGTTAAAAAAACCGGGCCTCAGCTTCCAGGTGTTTGAAGGGTTCCATATGATGAGCTGTTTCCGACGGAATTGTTGCTCCCTTTATAAAGAGGCACCTCCAGCAAGCAAAAAGACGTGCATGAAGTTTTTGTGCCGGACAAAACATTAGGAAATAATGAGTGGTTACCCCAGCAAATGTGTCAGGGCAAACTTCTGGACCACACACAGCTCAGCCTGCTCCTCTGGAGTTCGGTTGTGTGAATGCAACGATGCTTTTGCCTGGCACACGCGTGGAGCCCTAAAGCAGCAACAGTGGCATCCGTCAGCATCTTGACCGTGCTGCTTCCCCACTTTCCACAACAGGCCATTCCTCATTGATCCAAGTCACTGTGAAGCTGCCCGTGATGGAAAAAGAACACACGAATGATTCATCGGCGGGAGAGCGAGCAACATCTACACCCATGCTTTGGCCATGGAAGGCTGGCCAGCAGTGGGTAAAGAGCCGTACTGAACACCGGACCTCCCCCACTGCTGCTGGAGGCAAACCCTTGCAATTGTGCGGTGTCTGAATTTCCCAGTGCAGCTACAGTGTCCCATGCAGGGAGTGTTTTCACTGCATTTCACGGTAGGATGGACCGCTTTTGATTAATTGCAGGACGGAGCTTTGCATCCCTGCTCTAGGTTTAAGCCTCGAGTACCCAATTATCCTCCCCTAGCAGGCAGATGTGGGGGCCAGAGGAGGTTCTGAGTGGAGCACCTCCTTCAATGCATCTCTCTCCTCTGCGCTTCCGTTCCCAGGCGTCTCTTCCTGGTGGACTGCAAAACGTAGTGACGGACCTTCCATCTGATCACTTTGTAGTTACGTGTCATACAGTCATCTCTAACGAATGGTGACCCTGTGAATGTCCTATTTTGGGATGTCCCCCAAAATGACCTGTCCCGTGACAGTCCTGCTCAGCTCTTGGCAACGTGAGGTGTGCCTTCCTTTATCTCAGGGCTGGCCTTCCTCTTCTGCCTCCCACTTCCCCTTGCAGTGTTGCCTTCTCCAGTGAGTCTTCCCCCAAAGTGCTACGATTAGACACATGCAGTGAAGGGACGGGTTTAACCACCCAATCAGCTCCAGCTGTTGGGCAGTATGGAAAGAATATAGAAGATCCATGGTGGCTGCTGACGACCCTTACGTGTTTCGAGGCAATGTGCCAGCTGTGGGAAACAAGAACTTGGACGCATCTGCTTTGCCATTGGAGAATGCCAAACTAGTAGTTTAGATGGACTTGGATCCAAGAGGGCTCTTCTTAGGTGAAATAAGAAGGGCGTTTTCATTCTTTTCATTTCACATTGTAATCCACCCCCTCACACACCCCACGCACAGGTTGCCACATAAGGCTGACTCAAGGCCTGTGCACCATTTTTAGTTCTCCAGAGAAATCGGCAGAAGGCGTGAGTGGAGGAGGCTGCCGTGGGAAGCGCCTGTAAAATGATAGAGTGGAAGACATAATCGTGTCATAATTGGTGAGGGATTGCTCACCATCTGCTTTCATGTAAGCAACATTTCCTAAATAAGATCAAGTGGATCCAAGAGATTAGAATCCCTGCCCCCTGCCACGTCTGGATACCCGCTTGTGGCCACATAGGTTAGAGGGTGCCTTGCATTAAAGCAAGTGCGCACAGCACCCGGCTGGGAGTGGGGCCCCCGCTAACTGGAGCAGGACAGAAGCTTTATGGAGGAGCATCTTGGCAGTGGTGGTACCTCCATTCAGCCCAAATATAGCCACCTTGAGCCTGTGCTCTCACCCAAGAGCTTTTATGCTTCTCTTCTTAATTTAGAGCCTTTGAGGATACAGGCCTGTAAGTTGTCCCTTTGATGCATGTTAAGACTCCATACTCGGAGGCTGATGAGCATCCAGTGCAGAGCGGAAGATGGAATCTCTGCTTCCTCACCCTCCTGCTGTGCATTTCTGCTCGATGGCCATTTTATCCTCACAACAACCCTAAGAGTCAGGTCCAAAGTTACCAAGTGAGTATTGTGTTGAGTAGGGAATGGGAAACAGATCTCCTGAGCCCCAGCCTTGGAACAAGAACAGAAAGGAAAAGAAATAGTCCTTCCTGACAAGTTGATTACCAGAAAGAAATAGCTGTTTTAAAAAAT